ATATCATTTCTTCTATATTATTATAAGGGAGAATGTGCACCACAGCCATTTTTTCCACCACAGATTGTCTTCTCTCCTAATGATGGTCGAACAATAATTGCCATTGATGAAGTCAATCAACGAGCTTATCAATCACTTCAGTATGGTGCTACAGGAGAATCAACATCATACGTGATGAAACATTTTCCTAACGCGATTCCTGATTCACCCCAATCAAAATATTATGTTCAATTGATAATAGATTCCGTACCTTTTGGTTGTATGTATGGAACATATTGGAAATATGGTGGAAATATAATTAATTCATTTCCTTCTCATTGGTGGGTTAATCGAACTTCATATAAAGTCGATAATTATTTGAAATTTATATATGAAATGATACATTCAAATGATTCTTCTGTCAATGAAGATTATTGGTATGCAAATGTAACATGTCAAGTTGATAGTGGAAAAAATTATCCATGTGAAGAAATATATTTTGAAAAAAATACACAAATTCCTCTTAGATCAACTCGAGTTGTTCGTCAAGGGTGGAAAGTTGTTCAACAGATCACTAATTATAGGATAATATCAATGGGGAAACCAGATGAGAAATATTTTGATTCAATTCCAAGCAATTGGACTTCCATCTGCCGAGATGTTATGCTTGGCCTTTTATATTATCCTCAAACAACTAAAATAGATTTAAATCAAAGTGTACAAGTTCAAGTATGGCTAATAACTCCTCCACATCGAATAAATGGAAATGATACTGTCACTATTCAATGGAAACCATCTGAATGTAATGATTGTTTTACATGGACACCAAAACAACTTTCTTTTGATATTGACAATTTTCAAGAAAGACAAACATTAACAATAACTCGTGTTAAAAATGGACCTCAAACAACTCTTATTCCAATATTTAATGGTGGAGGTTTTGATCTTGTTGCACCAGTACTTTATCCTATTTATATTCAATAAAATTTTCTCGTGTCATCTTGAATATTTATAAAATAATCAAAATAAAGTTCTTATTGAAAAAAGACTTCCTCTATAACAAAAATCGATTATCATTTGGACATGAAGATTTTATTCTAGACAGAGATAAATCTGATATTGTCACTGAAAAGTCAAAGATCTGGTCAAATCTATATGTTTAGAGTGAAACATTTCGAAAGTTTTATGATTTCTGTTTTGGCGATTTTCGTATCATAGTACATGTAGTTTATTCTGATCATTATGCTTCGATTTTTCTTAGAACATCATGAATTATTGAAAATTTATAATTGATATTAAAATCCGTTTGAATACATTTTCTTCATTCGTCACTATTTTATTGCATTATTTGAAAAGAAAAGACTTTGTTCTGTTTGAGAAGAGAACAACTAAAACACAGGTGATATTATTGGTGATAAAACTGACACAACTGATACGAGAATATTTATCTTTTCTTTTCATCACCTCATCATTCATGACGATTCATTTTTCTTGCGTTAGATAAGAAAAATGCATCAATAAAACGTAGAAATATTTATTTAAAAATTCTTTTAGATAATGAAAATTTGGTTGATTTTAATAAAATTTATTTTATTGAACTATTTGGGAGAAAGTATACAACTGCATTTTCCTTCTCAAATTGTGTTTTCTCCTGATAATGGTCAAACGATATTTGCAATTGATGAAATAAATCAATGTGCTTATAAAACAATTGCTTTAAATTCGTCATCAAGACAAACTTCATATGTCTACTAGCATTTTCCATATTCAATTGCTGATTCTCCTCAATGAAAATTTTATGTTCAATTATTAGTCAATTCTCCAAGTGTTGAATGTATGTATGGAACATATTGGAAATATGGTGGAAATAATTTTAATAGATTTCCATCACATTGGTTGGTTAATGGAAGTTCATTTAAAGTAGATAATTATCTTAACTTTAAATATGGAATGATATATTCAAATAGTTCTTCTCAAGATGAAGATTATTGGCAGTCGAATGTAACACGTCGAGTTGATAGTGGAGAAATTTATCCATATGAAGAAATTTATTTTAAGAAGAATACAGAAATTCCTCTACGATTTGTTCAAGTTGCTTCTCGAAGATTGAATCTTATACAAGTAACAACAAATTATCAAGTTATATCAATGGGAAAACCAGATGAGAAGTATTTTGATTCAATTCGAAAAGATTGGTTTTTCACTTGTCGAGATGTTAATCTTGGACTTTTATATTATCCACTATTAACAAATTTAACTTTAGATCAAACTGTAGAAATTCATATTTCTTTGTCGCTCCACCGCATCGAATTAATCGAACTGACACTGTTACTATTCACTGGAAAGCCACCCAATACTTTGATTGTGTGACGTGGACACCAATACAACTCAATTTTGATACATAGAATTCTCAGCAAGAACAAATATTAAGAATAACTCGTGTTAAACGTGGATCACAAACAATTCTTATTCCAAACTTTTATGGTGAAGGTTTCGAGTTTGGTCCACCAGAAATTTATCCAATTATTATCGAACAAATGTCTTCCTTTTTATTGTTTACTGGCGAAAGTACCCGGTGCTGCTCGGGAAAATTCAGTCTTAATGTATACAAGCAAAACTTCTATTGTGCTTGAGAACACGTAAGAAAACCTAATCAGTAGGGAGTAGGCATGCATAAAATCCTATTTTTTTGTCCCGGTCATGGTTCTGGCCCTTGGACGTATTTTAAGTCCCGGCCACGGCTGCTCTCGCTCTCGGCAGCTATGAAATACTAACTTTGAAAAATTGATCAGAAGTGAAGGATTCTTCGTCTTTACACGTCTAGATCAAGAAAGGCTTAATGAAACTTATGAGTTCTATCAACTTTCTATCTTGGTCAAGCATTTATAAGAGCACACATTTGTCTCGATCATCCCCAATCTCGGCTGATCCCGGTCGTGCTTGGTCATGTTTCCGGTTCCGGAGCTGTCTAGTTGTGTTTCTAGTAGACAGCCCACATGGACAATCGATTCCTCGACAGTGTTGCAAGAAATATCCGCTTTGATCGAAACTAAACACAATGACACATGTAATTGATCTAGAACGTCTCGTTCACAATACCCATTGATCGAGAGAATTACGACGATATATCGTACTTTGCACTACTTGAATCGCACTGAATTCCGATTGGTTGCAAAAAAAGATAGACAGAAAGCTTTTTGTGGGACAGATCCTTTAACAACCTTAGGAGTCGATATCTATGAGAAACAAATTTTGCATCTCATAGATTATTTATTCGAAATCCCCAACTCACACGACTCTCAGGAAACCAATTTTCCCAAAACGCGATTTGTATGTGATATGGGTCACTTACGTCAGAGTTAGAGTCGAACTTCCAAGTTGCAAAGCTTGACTCTGCAGGGCTCTAATCCTCACCCTCACATCGACACCCTATTTTGATGTATTTTTCAATTTGAAGTACATTGTTTCCCCCTAGTGAAATACTATAATAAAAAATATGATGCATCGAAAAAAATATGCTGCATTTTTTTCTCATTTCGCTTCTAATATAAGTATTTAAGTAGTTTTTATTTTTGAATCATATAAATATTCCTTCAAGGCAAATAAATTCAAACTAGATGGTATTCGAGTTTCGACTCGAATACGAAATGCGGTGCGAAGCACGAATCTCTCGAATTTTCGAAAAAACGATATTTCGGAGAAAACGAAAATTCGATTGTCGAGTTAATAGAAATCGTCATTTCTGGTTGATTTGTGGACGGACTACCGAACATAGACAGTTCTCTGTCCCATTCGAATTCGAAAAATTACTTTTTCACAACTCAGCTGATATAAGTCGTGAGAAAATTGAAAAGTACCATAATGAAATTCATCGCCAAGAGAACTCTATGAAAGGCTATGAACACTTTTCTGAAGGACGATTTCGATTGATCGTTTAATTATCTATATGATTCATTATCTACAATCAGCTGTAATTACAGCTGTTTGACAGATGAAGACGATACAATGGTCTCTAACTTTTCTCTTTATTTTTATTTTAATTATCTGGAAATGGAAGAAGCTCTAAGTTCTGTCAAATCCGTCTTTTTGGAACGATATTTGTGAATGAATGGAATGTTCGATTAAATATTGGAAAAAATGTTGCCGCAGTTCGATGTCGATACTTGTACTTCTCGTTTCAAGTGTTTTTTTGTGACTCTCGGTTTTCGAGATCATCGCGACTCAAAATGACGATTTGTAATGGGTATTCGAGACTGTTATGATATAAACATTTAGGAATTCTTATAAAATATTAAAATAATCTTCATATTTTTCATTTATAATAATAAAATATAGTT